CAGATTGTGACGCAGTGTCCAAGGATNAAAATCGTTGCATCAGTGCAAGTATCAACTACTCGTGGAAGTTTTACGTGGTGTCCAAGGAGTGCAGTTGTTTACCTATGAAAACGGGGAAGATGTACCGTCGGTGGATAACATCCTGCCCAATTCTGTTTTTATATTCGACGATGTTGTTATGGAAAAACAAAATGTAATGTGTGATTATTTCGCGCGTGGACGTCACCGTCGAGTTGACGTGTTTTTTCTCTCACAAACATTATCACGCATACAAAAACAAATGTTACGTGACAACACAAATTTGGTGGTGTTGTTCCGACAGGATGAAGTTAATCTACGGCACGCGTACGATGAATACGTGTGTTGCGATATGAAATTCGGCGAATTCAAAGAGTTTTGCAAACATTGTTGGAACAAAGACCGGTATGGATTTGCAGTGATTTGTTTAGACTTCGCGCGTGACGGTGGCCGGTATAGATACAAGTTTGACACATTTGTGACGATATGAGTACTATTAATAATAGAATTCGTGAAGAAAAAAAAACGTTGTTGAAATTATTGACGGAAGCCCGGGAAAATGTTCGAAAAAAGTACACGGAATTGCATCGTGGTGAAGCGGATTCATTGAGTCGCGTAAAACGAGAATTGGCACCAATCATTGCACCATTGGATAAAATCGTGACACAGCAACAGCAACAGCAACAGCAGCAGCAACAACAACATGAACAACAACTACAGTAATCCATCAAAAGTTTAAATGATGATAGATACAATATGGAACATGATGATGGGTTTTTCCATCAGTACATGCACCAATGGTCAATGAACCCGAACAGAGACAAAATGTATGGACCAAAAGTGACACCAGAAGGAACATTGACAATAGGTGGAGTCGACAATATCTTTGTCGATGGAGGAATAATCAACGTACTGGAGAAAAAATTCCTGCTGACATTAGGTCTTGTGGACTTACTTTTTTCGAAAAATTCCGGTGTTTACTCCGAATCGGGTTTGCAGGCATACAAAACAATTTTACTCGAAACCGGTGTACATTTGAATAAAGACGGAACATTGAAAAAAGGAGGTCAAAAATATATTAATACTATTAAACCATTGTTTGAAAACAATGATGGTGGTAGCGCAAACAATTCCTTACCATTATTTGAAAACAGAAGCATCACTGTCACTATTCATTATCGGTGCGGGTCTACAGTTAAGANCATCTATTATCGGTGCGGGTCTACAGTTAAGGTTGAACAACAAGAAAAAAGAGTATGTGTACTGGGACGAACCCAACGAGCTCGTAGATCGTTTACGTTTATTGATATCGGCCCGGTCAGCTGGTAATACTGGAGTTGCACCGGAGATCATTTCTATATTGGAAGAGTTGCAGGAAACCGGTTACATTGAACAAATACCATCAAAATTATGAATAAAAACATTACCTATGAACTCCATCAGCAGGCCCGTAANCTACATCAGCAGGCCCGTAGGACGTACACCCGTGCTCGAATAAATATCAAAGGTCTCGATGATGTTTGGCATGCTGACCTCGTGGAAATGCGCGTATACCCCGATCGACGTCATCGGTATATTTTAACGTGCATCGATGGATTTTCAAAATATGCGTGGGCCATTCCGTTGAAAAATAAAACAGCCAAAGAAGTTACTGCTGCCATGAATGGAATATTAAAACAAGGTCGTCATCCTAAACTTTTGCAAACGGACAATGGTAAAGAATTCTACAACAAACAGTTTCAAAAACTGATGTCACAATATGTAATCAATCACTATTCAACTTATTCCACTATGAAAGCTTGTCTCGTGGAACGTTTTAACCGCACATTAAAAAACGCAATGTGGTGCGATTTTAGTGCACGTGATTCGTACAAGTGGGTTAATCGGTTGCCTACGCTGTGGCACGAATACAATAACGTGCGTAAATATAGAACAATCGGAATGATACCGGTGCAATCTGTGCAAAACCCCGACCTGGTTCGACTAAAGTTACGTAAAATACCCGCTAATTTACCGGTCAAATTTTACGTAGGTGACAAAGTTCGGATTAGTATACATAAAGTGTTTGACAAGGGTTATTTGCCGAACTGGAGCACCGAACTATTTACCGTAGTCAAGGTTAGACAATCAGTACCACCAACTTACTATCTAGAAGATTATCAGGGAAATCCAATACGTGGTGTGTTTTACACCGAAGAGCTGAACAAGACCAGTTATCCGGACATGTATTTAGTCGAACGAGTGTTGCGAACACAAGGAGATCAGTGTTACGTTAAATGGTTAGGATTTGGCCCAGAACACAATTCATGGATACCGAAAACCAATATCTTACCTCAATGATTGTCGATATACAAGGTATTGTAGCAGCTGACCGATCGTTTTTGGTCAAGGAACTGACTGCTATTGCCATAGACTGCACTTCTTTCGCCCATTGGATGTTCAAACATCCAAAAAGTATCAAGGAGGATGCTAAAACAAACTTTTGGTTGAAAAAATACCTACATGGAATGGATACACGTTGCGGGGATGTGGAATACAATGAGTTGCCGAGAATAATGAAACTCTTGCGATTCGAAACCATTTACGTGAAGGGAGCTGTAAAAAAGCGAGTAGTGGAAAAGTACATACCGGGACAACGTATAATCAATGTAGAGGATTTGGACTATCCTCCTCTGTACAATTTAAGTTGTGTTACAAAACCATGTCGTATTCGACACATGAACAACCCAAATATGTGCAGTTTATATAAGACTATATGTTTAAAACAATGGATGAATTATAACATATAACGCTATTGTATTAAAAAATATATATATAAACACGAATACTTTATAATATTTATTTTTATTTCTACAATTTTTTTACCGAAAAAAATGGTAAATCGTTGTGTAAATCATGTAAATGTTGTGGATAATCTACATCGACTTGCACAAGATATCCATGGTCAGCATCCTCAGCTGTGTCAAGTATTTCCTCCAATGTAACAGTTGACCATTCAAAATTACTAAGTGGCATCGGTTCCATCATTGCTTAAAAAAACAAATGTATTTTTACACAAACATTAATTTTTTTTATTTAAAAAAAAAACTACCTGTTCCATATAAATATGTATATATTTATAAATATTATTAAACATATTTTTAATAATCACACATACTTGTGTCAAACCTCCACGTATACCCAATTCAAACATTAATAACATATCTGGGTCTGTTATCAATTCAATGTTGACATCAGTATATTTTTTATTNATAAAACAGCTCGAAATTTTGCCGTCCAATGATTATGATCCTTGACTTTTACTAACTTATCGGTAAACTCTATTAAACACGAGTCGCAATGTTTTGTGGTATTGAAACGATGTTGTTCCTCAGAAGTTAGAGGATTCATCTCGATGTTAATTTTCATGATATCTAATACTTGTATTCCAATATCCACCAATGTACAAAATCCAATATACAAAATGTTTAGCAGCATCAGGTCCTCGATACATTACTGGTTCCTCCAGTAATCCCTGACACATGTTTTGCGGTAATATTTTGGAGTTGCGTACTATGAAAAAACAATAACTCATTGTTTTATGTTTTTGTATAATCATAGACTTGTCCGATATTTGTTCGAACAAGTAAACTTTCCATATCAGCGTAGATAACTAATGGTATTGGTTCTTCTCGTCTTGTGTTTTTAAAACGTAATATTGAAACATCAGAGTTAGGCTGTGGTAGAACAATGCGAGCCTCCTTGAATTTTCCACACATTTTTACATGTTCTTTAAGTCCCTCTTTCCCACTCGGACTAGTTAATAACGNTTTCCACACATTTTTACATGTTCTTTAAGTCCCTCTTTCCCACTCGCACGAGTTAATAACGGTTGCTCGTTAAATACGCTGAGACATCGTTTACAATGATATTCTTGTCGTTTACTTTTTGAGCGTTGTTTTGATACAAGCCTTGAAAATTTTGAGATGTAACAATAGTGGTTAGTTTCATTATTTTTCAAGTATAGTAAATCAATATGATCTGTAGCGGTTTTGGATTTAGTTACACGCAATGGAAAAACAATGTTTTTATTGTCCAACGCATACACATTTACCGATATTGTAGGATTTTTTCGTTCGAAGCGATTAATTTGTTCAATTGGTGTTGGAAAATCAATACCAAAAAAATCTATGTTCAAACGTTGTTCTAATTCAAAATATGCAACATTCCAATCACTTCTTTTACCTCTTTTATTGTAATGACATAAGATTGACCATTTGAAACATTGTTGATCATCGTTTTTAATNTCTTTTCGGGTAATAGTTTGCACCCACTGTGTCAGAATCACCTTAATGTTTTCATCTTGCAAAAGTAGTATTCCGTTTAAATTTTCCGTTATCGATAAAATATATCCGCACATTGAATACATTCTATGTAGTAAATCGATAGTGATAATAAGTTCTTAATGACAGTTTACCAACTTGACTTTTAGCCAAAATGAATCGTCAGGATCCAGACCAATGTATACGCGAGACATTTGTGAAATGCTATATATTGATGAATCGATCAAGTCGTTGATTTTATTGAATTTACACTTTGGTGTAGCCATTGTGATTAAAGTCTCAAGGTCCAATAGGCATTACTATCGTTGCGATTCGCATTCACCGTTTTTTCAATTGTTTCAATTGAATCCAAATGTTCGTAATATATTCGCTTCATAACTGAGCATGCACATTCAGGATTGTCCGAATTTTTTCCTATATTCGATAATTCACAACCCTTGTAGTGTAAAAAGTCTCCACCGGTACCGTTGACTTTATCTCCTAGACGTTCCGCAAAATATTGCAAATCTCGATAATTTTTCAATAATTTACTGAATGGTTTAAAAACTCTATCTGTCGGTTCGTTTTCAACAAGAAAAATCAATTTATTCGATATATTACTTAAATAATCCATCTTACACGCACAATAGATTAACATATACTGANCATCTTACACGCACAATAGATTAACAAATACTGAGAACCGATTAGTAGTCAACAGACAATGTTGCTGCTGCACGACACCAAACTTTCCAAACATCTGTTAGACATTGGAATCTCGATGACGAATGAGGTGTATTTTATGGATTACACGACTACGGCTTATACCCCGTCGACGACGACGGCGGCGGCGGCGGTTGCGATGACACAATATAACGCGCGACCGTTTGACGTACAACTCCGGTGGGAGGATGTAGGCATGGGCAGAGTCTTTAACATTATTGTATGTGACGTGTTGACCTTAAGGGCGATTATATTACGTAACACCTGTGATGCTCCTGATTGAGGGGCACGCGTTGCTGCATACGTCACACCGACAACGACGTAACGCCGAGTCAGCTGACCACCTACCCTCCGCCAACCCACATTATTATCGCAATTTTAACAATAACACACTTGATTTACAACTTTAACAATTACGATTGACCTTAATTAACCATTTAATTACCCATTAACACTCTTAATTTATTACTTTTTGATGACGTATGACACTAATTACCATGGCGGCATCCTTTGATCCCCAGAACTCGCTATTTACTTAATACTAATATCGTATGGGTAAATGGGAATTACTTCCATCTCCATCGAATTCACATCCATTTTTTCGCAGCTTCCAACACTATAATATTAACAATAACAATAATAATATTAACAATATATTAATAAATCTATAATTTACTTATGTTATAAGTCTTACAAAATTCATCATCATCATTACTATTAATTTTTGCTTCGGTATCTATTGAATTAGTATCAATTGTTTGCGCTACTTTACACACTATTAATATAATAATAATAATAAAATTTATAAATAAATATTTTCACTTTTTAATTTCAACTTACAAAATTCATCATCGCTGTCCTGAGTGTTGGAAAATAATATATTATTATTATTATTATTATTTTTCTTTTCACTTTTCTTAACATTATTAACTTGATGCATTATTTCCTCTAATTGTGAGTTGCTAGATTTTGAATTCTAAAAAATATAATTAATATTAAAATATATCTTTTGAATAAATATACTTATTTTTATGTAATTGATACTCACGAGCGTTTTCATATGTATGTGCAATTTATTTAATCCTGACATTAACGGAGGAGATGATTTTGCAATAGACACTAAAAAATTATTAATAGTTAACTAAAATATATATACATAAATGTAAAAATTAAACATACAGTAATCGTTATCATTTTTCAAAATACTTGCATTATAATTCACATTATTTCTCTCGTTAACTATAATTTTTTTTTTTTTTATTATTAGACATAAAAGACAGCGGCAGCTCTGGCCATTGGTCTGTTAGTAAATTACATTATTATTATTATTATTATTATTATTACAATTTTTACATAACATTTATACATATTATATATACAAATTATATTTCTTTATATAAAGTGGATTTTTATAAGAAAATAAGTAATTTTTGAATTGCGGTTGGTTCAGGACTGAGGATTTCGTATAGGTTCCGAGGGTTTCCATACGATCTTGTTGGTTGCTTCTGCACTCAGTGAAAATGTGTTTGATCGTGAGTTGGACACCGTAGGTGGTGCAGTTTGGTGGGTCCTCTTTTTTCATAAGGTGTCGGTGGGTACATGACATATGACCTATTCTTAGGCGGTTTATAATTGTTTCTTGTCTTCTAAGACAGCCGGGGAGCGGAGGCCATGGTATTATTGATTTTTTTATTTCGTTGAGTTTAGTTGTTTGATTTGACCAGTATTGTTGCCATCTTTCGATTGTGTGATTTTTGATAAATTTTCTTGCGTCGGTATATGAGAAATCTGGTATTGTGATAGCATTAGATGATGTGTGCGAGAGTTGGCGGCCTCGTCTGCTTTTTCGTTGCCTGCTATATTGCTGTGCCCAGGAATCCACATGAACGATATGTGTTTACCAGCAGATCGTGCAATGCGACAGGCGTTCTGGATATTTGTTGCTATGTCAGTAGGGTAGGTTGTATTTTTAAGGCTTATTAATGCACTAAGAGAGTCACTTAGTATAATACATAGTTTGTCATCGAAGTTTTGTGTGAAATATTTGATGGCTTCTAGTATTGCTATGGCTTCAGCTGTGTATATTGAACATTTGTCAGATAGTTTGAATTGAATTTCGATGGCGCCACATATGATTGCAGCTCCAACTCTTTGATCTGTTATAGAAGCGTCAGTGTAAATCTGTGTGTGGGGTTCGGCTTTAGCTATGATTTCATTGAAGTGGTGTTTATATATTTTAGGATTTGTGTCTTTTTTTGGTAGGTGATGGAGATCGAGGTTGATGTCTAGAGAAATTGTCCAAGGTGGCTGAAGACTAATAGTAGATGGTATGATATGGTTTAGGTCAAATTTATCTTGTAGATTTTTAAATATCCTTAAGGGAGATGAGGAGTATCCTTGTGGGTATCTATATACTGTGTCTGCCTTTAAAGTTTTCTGCTCTGCCCATCTAATTATAATTAAATTAACTATAATTAAATAATTAAAATATATATTATTATTATTTTTTATTTTTAATATAACATAAAAATAATATAAATTATAATATATACTTACGGGTTCCGTAAACATTTCTTGAGGTGCTGGCTTCGTAGTTAACCATGGTCATCCCATTAATCGATTTTGTTTCGTTTTCAGTAAACACAGTACGTAATTATAAATTATTATACGGCGCTAGCAAATCAATTTTATTTATTAAACATTGTATTTAAAATTTTTATAATTCACATTTATATAAGAAGGATGTTATAACGTAAACATTATAGTTCACTTTACTAACCTTTTAAAGCATGTGTCTGTTGCATATGTCTCTTAAAGTTATCTTTCCTCGAAAAATTCTTCAGACTTAAAATACACTGATAAAATTTTTTATTATTATGTACACTTACGATGTGACGATTCAGAGCTTTAGTGAAGCTGAACGTTTTTCCACAAATAGAACATAAAAATGAGATGATGAATATGATTGAAAGTAAAAGAGTTGATGAAGTCGATTAAACAGATAAATGACAATTAAATCGGAAAGGAATGACTTTCTTGGTTTTATGTGTTCAATTTTTCGAATTACATCAATTTTATCTCTAGACACCTACACCCCCCTTCGGTTTGATGTGAATTTGCAAGAAATATATATTTTCAAATGTTTATTATAATAAAAATGTTTACATCTCCTTTTGAGTATATATGATTAGTATATTAGGAAATTTCTAAGAAATTAGTGTAGATATAGAACGATTGCATCTCACTTTTCATGCTAACGTATTACTAATAAGTAACATTAATCTTTTTTTCGTAGACAATACGTTTGCAAAATTACACTTTTTTATTTAATTTAATTTTTCAAATACATCATAACATAAATTTTACTTATATTTTTTCGTAGAGATTTAACTACATATTGCTTTGTTTCACTCTATCGTAGAGATATAAATAGAGGTAACTTCAGTAATTTATTAATAATAGATAATACAAATGATTTTTATCATAATGTTTTTATTTTCAAAAATACAATATTCTTTATACAATCATTATATCATAACTTGTACTTTGTTCAAGTCGACCGTTATATATGAGTTTCAGATCTTCATCAATACATCTCGCTAAATCTTCTCGAGTAAATGTGTATCTAGCAGGTAAATAAACTTGAAATGAATCTTCACTATTAAATTCACTTCAGCTACTGGTGTTTCATCAGAGTATTTTCATTTTATCAAATATAATCCCAAAACTTTATACGGAACGCCTACTTTAAGATCACATACACATTTTCTTTGTTTACGTTTCATCTTGTTTAACCATTCTTTATTTATTACACTCATCTAAAAAAAAAAACAAATTTAGATTTTGAAATTGATAATATTTTAAAAAATCATAATAAATAATAATTACTTTTTTATGCTAATGAAACCAATTTAATCGATGATGAATCTATACAAATCTTATACTAATCAATTGTAAAAAAGCAAACTTTAACAATGATAACTTACAATTTATAGTTGATTGATGAAATATTTTTTTAATACTTAACTAATCACACATGACGAAAATAAAACAAGAGATAATATGATTAATTTTTCACGATTAATAGTGTTTTATAGCTAATTTTAATAATAGGAAGGGAAGTTTTTAACGTTAAATTTATCATATACAACCTTAAGTAATAGAAGGTGCATACAGTGGGAGGAGGTGGTATTGTTTTTGTTGATGTACATTATAATTATAATAGTAAATAAAGTGATACTAGTGGAAGGAGGTGATATTGATTTTGAGTTTTCACATTAACACTATAGTAGTAAATGAAGAAATATATTATATTTAACGCGTATCCAATAGCACGCACTAGCACTATATATATATATGACTATAAGTATAGTTTTACAATAAACTATAAAGAAAAGAAAACCACTCGTAACAATGCGAACAAATCAGCTCAATATTACGCGAGTCAATTACAATTGTTGTAATCGGCTGTTTTGTTTTATTTTAAAGAATTAACACAGCTATATAAAGGCACAGGTAAAACGTGATTTTACCAAGTCGCACCCGAACACAAACTTAAATCGAAGAAAAGGTACACTACAAAACTCTAACCAGTTACGGTGTACATCGGAAATGGAACAGCACGCAATATCAGTAATCCATATTCGGCGGCGGCCTTATCTCAGTGTTAAGGGCGGGGAGACAACCGATGACAACCAATTGTCATATTAATAGCTGGACGGCTGATATCGAGAGAGACACGGGCGAGCGCCAGCCTAGAGCAAAAGGCGGTGCCGTGTCATATTAAATAATGTAATAAAGTAAATTAATATATTGGTATTAAAATATTATAATCTAGTTAATCAAAAAACCAGAATCATAATTATTTTAAGTACCCATTATTAACAAAAACAGATTCACTAACTATAACATTACATGTGAACGTTAAATGCATCATATATAATTTTATATATTAGTAATCGTACATAGACTAAAGAGGTGAGTATTTTACACTATCTCAACAATAAATTCAGCAGATGTATGATTTTTGATTTTAAATTTTCAACTTAAAAATGCTATAACTTTTCGAAAAATATATGTATCAGCACAAATTTCTTTATTCTAAATATATTATAAGAACATCTTTCATTTGACATACTTTTTTTTAAAATTAGACAATTTCCCCTTATATAGGGGGGTTCAAACTTTGAAACATTGTATAAAAAATAGAACTTTTTCAACTGAACTTTTTAAAATGTTCCGGAAATACTGTGTCCTTTAAATATATATTAAATTAAAGCCTATTTTATGTACTATAAAATGAAAAAAAAAAATTTGTCTTGACACCTTATCTTCTATGTGCAAATGGCTGTCCAAAATTAAAAAAAAAATTTAATGTTTGCGATAAAAATCACCTTCTATCGGAATGTTTTTTGTACTTAAAACTCCCATAACTTTTTCAAATATTAAAAAATCAAAATAATATTTTGTTATATTAAAACCTTAGATATTTCCCTTTGATTTGATATCATTTTTTTTTTTTAAATCTAACACTTATTCTGCTCACAAGGGGGATTTAAAATAGCGACGACTTATCATCTGTGCGCAAATGGCTACCGTATTCAAAAATATGCTATTTTTGTGTTAAAATCCTGGGTTTTGTATTTTATTTTATTTTAAAATATCTTATAAGGGCAATACACNTTATTATTATTATTATTATTATTTATATTTACAGTTTTCAATATCGTATGGGTAAATGGGAATTACTTCCACCTCCATCGAATTCACATCCATTTTTTTCGCAGCTTCCAACACTATAATATTAACAATAACAATAATAATAATAATAAATCTATAATTTACTTATGTTATAAGTCTTACAAAATTCATCATCATCATCATCATCATCATCATCATCATTACTATTAATTTTTGCTTCGGTATCCATTGAATTAGTATCAATTGTTTGCGCTACTTTACACACTATTAACATAATAATAATAATAATTGAAAATAAATATTTTCACTTTTTAATTTCAACTTACAAAATTCATCATCGCTGTCCTGAGTATTGGAAAATAATATATTATTCTTTTCACTTTCCTTAACATTATTAACTTGATGCATTATTTCCTCTAATTGTAAGTGGCTAGCATTTGAATTCTAAAAATATGAATAATATTAAAATATATCTTTTGAATAAATATACTTATTTTTATGTAAATGATACTCACAAGCGTTTTCATATGTATGTGCAATTTATTTAATCCTGACATTAACGGAGGAGATGATTTTGCAATAGACACTAAAAAATTATTAATAGTTAACTAAAATATATATACATAAATGTAAAAATTAAACATACAGTAATCGTTATCATTTTTCAAAATACTTGCATTATAATTCACATTATTTCTCTCGTTAACTATAATTTTTTTTTTTTTTATTATTAGACATAAAAGACAGCGGCAGCTCTGGCCATTGGTCTGTTAGTAAATTACATTATTATTATTATTATTATTATTATTACAATTTTTACATAACATTTATACATATTATATATACAAATTATATTTCTTTATATAAAGTGGATTTTTATAAGAAAATAAGTAATTTTTGAATTGCGGTTGGTTCAGGACTGAGGATTTCGTATAGGTTCCGAGGGTTTCCATACGATCTTGTTGGTTGCTTCTGCACTCAGTGAAAATGTGTTTGATCGTGAGTTGGACACCGTAGGTGGTGCAGTTTGGTGGGTCCTCTTTTTTCATAAGGTGTCGGTGGGTACATGACATATGACCTATTCTTAGGCGGTTTATAATTGTTTCTTGTCTTCTAAGACAGCCGGGGAGCGGAGGCCATGGTATTATTGATTTTTTTATTTCGTTGAGTTTAGTTGTTTGATTTGACCAGTATTGTTGCCATCTTTCGATTGTGTGATTTTTGATAAATTTTCTTGCGTCGGTATATGAGAAATCTGGTATTGTGATAGCATTAGATGATGTGTGCGAGAGTTGGCGGCCTCGTCTGCTTTTTCGTTGCCTGCTATATTGCTGTGCCCAGGAATCCACATGAACGATATGTGTTTACCAGCAGATCGTGCAATGCGACAGGCGTTCTGGATATTTGTTGCTATGTCAGTAGGGTAGGTTGTATTTTTAAGGCTTATTAATGCACTAAGAGAGTCACTTAGTATAATACATAGTTTGTCATCGACGTTTTGTGTGAAATATTTGATGGCTTCTAGTATTGCTATGGCTTCAGCTGTGTATATTGAACATTTGTCAGATAGTTTAAATTGAATTTCGATGGCGCCACATATGATTGCAGCTCCAACTCTTTGATCTGTTATAGAAGCGTCAGTGTAAATCTGTGTGTGGGGTTCGGCTTTAGCTATGATTTCATTGAAGTGGTGTTTATATATTTTAGGATTTGTGTCTTTTTTTGGTAGGTGATGGAGATCGAGGTTGATGTCTAGAGAAATTGTCCAAGGTGGCTGAAGACTAATAGTAGATGGTATGATATGGTTTAGGTCAAATTTATCTTGTAGATTTTTAAATATCCTTAAGGGAGATGAGGAGTATCCTTGTGGGTATCTATATACTGTGTCTGCCTGTAAAGTTTTCTGCTCTGCCCATCTAATTATAATTAAATTAACTATAATTAAATAATTAAAATATATATTATTATTATTTTTTATTTTTAATATAACATAAAAATAATATAAATTATAATATATACTTACGGGTTCCGTAAACATTTCTTGAGGTGCTGGCTTCGTAGTTAACCATGGTCATCCCATTAATCGATTTTGTTTCGTTTTCAGTAAACACAGTACGTAATTATAAATTATTATACGGCGCTAGCAAATCAATTTTATTTATTAAACATTGTATTTAAAATTTTTATAATTCACATTTATATAAGAAGGATGTTATAACGTAAACATTATAGTTCACTTTACTAACCTTTTAAAGCATGTGTCTGTTGCATATGTCTCTTAAAGTTATCTTTCCTCGAAAAATTCTTCAGACTTAAAATACACTGATAAAATTTTTTATTATTATGTACACTTACGATGTGACGATTCAGAGCTTTAGTGAAGCTGAACGTTTTTCCACAAATAGAACATAAAAATGAGATGATGAATATGATTGAAAGTAAAAGAGTTGATGAAGTCGATTAAACAGATAAATGACAATTAAATCGGAAAGGAATGACTTTCTTGGTTTTATGTGTTCAATTTTTCGAATTACATCAATTTTATCTCTAGACACCTACACCCCCCTTCGGTTTGATGTGAATTTGCAAGAAATATATATTTTCAAATGTTTATTATAATAAAAATGTTTACATCTCCTTTTGAGTATATATGATTAGTATATTAGGAAATTTCTAAGAAATTAGTGTAGATATAGAACGATTGCATCTCACTTTTCATGCTAACGTATTACTAATAAGTAACATTAATCTTTTTTTCGTAGACAATACGTTTGCAAAATTACACTTTTTTATTTAATTTAATTTTTCAAATACATCATAACATAAATTTTACTTATATTTTTTCGTAGAGATTTAACTACATATTGCTTTGTTTCACTCTATCGTAGAGATATAAATAGAGGTAACTTCAGTAATTTATTAATAATAGATAATACAAATGATTTTTATCATAATGTTTTTATTTTCAAAAATACAATATTCTTTATACAATCATTATATCATAACTTGTACTTTGTTCAAGTCGACCGTTATATATGAGTTTCAGATCTTCATCAATACATCTCGCTAAATCTTTTTGAGTAAATGTGTATCTAGCAGGTAAATAAACTTGAAATGAATCTTCACTATTAAATTCACTTCAGCTACTGGTGTTTCATCAGAGTATTTTCATTTTATCAAATATAATCCCAAAACTTTATACGGAACGCCTACTTTAAGATCACATACACATTTTCTTTGTTTACGTTTCATCTTGTTTAACCATTCTTTATTTATTACACTCATCTAAAAAAAAAAACAAATTTAGATTTTGAAATTGATAATATTTTAAAAAATCATAATAAATAATAATTACTTTTTTATGCTAATGAAACCAATTTAATCGATGATGAATCTATACAAATCTTATACTAATCAATTGTAAAAAAGCAAACTTTAACAATGATAACTTACAATTTATAGTTGATTGATGAAATATTTTTTTAATACTTAACTAATCACACATGACGAAAATAAAACAAGAGATAATATGATTAATTTTTCACGATTGATAGTGTTTTATAGCTAATTTTAATAATAGGAAGGGAAGTTTTTAACGTTAAATTTATCATATACAACCTTAAGTAATAGAAGGTGCATACAGTGGGAGGAGGTGGTATTGTTTTTGTTGATGTACATTATAATTATAATAGTAAATAAAGTGATACTAGTGGAAGGAGGTGATATTGCTTTTGAGTTTTCACATTAACACTATAGTAGTAAATGAAGAAATATATTATATTTAACGCGTATCCAATAGCACGCACTAGCACTATATATATATATGACTATAAGTATAGTTTTACAATAAACTATAAAGAAAAGAAAACCACTCGTAACAATGCGAACAAATCAGCTCAATATTACGCGAGTCAATTACAATTGTTGTAATCGGCTGTTTTGTTTTATTTTAAAGAATTAACACAGCTATATAAAGGCACAGGTAAAACGTGATTTTACCAAGTCGCACCCGAACACAAACTTAAATCGAAGAAAAGGTACACTACAAAACTCTAACCAGTTACGGTGTACATCGGAAATGGAACAGCACGCAATATCAGTAATCCATATTCGGCGGCGGCCTTATCTCAGTGTTAAGGGCGGGGAGACAACCGATGACAACCAATTGTCATATTAATAGCTGGACGGCTGATATCGAGAGAGACACGGGCGAGCGCCAGCCTAGAGCAAAAGGCGGTGCCGTGTCATATTAANCAAGGGCGGGGAGACAACCGATGACAACCAATTGTCATATTAATAGCTGGACGGCTGATATCGAGAGAGACACGGGCGAGCGCTAGCCTAGAGCAAAAGGCGGTGCCGTGTCATAATGTAATAAAGTAAATTAATATATTGGTATTAAAATATTATAATCTAGTTAATCAAAAAACCAGAATCATAATTATTTTAAGTACCCATTATTAACAAAAACAGATTCACTAACTATAACATTACATGTGAACGTTAAATGCATCATATATAATTTTATATATTAGTAATCGTACATAGACTAAAGAGGTGAGTATTTTACACTATCTCAACAATAAATTCAGCAGATGTATGAATTTATTTATAAATTTCATCTCTTATAATACTTCATTGTAAACATTNATAAATTCAGCAGATGTATGATTTTTGATTTTAAATTTTCAACTTAAAAATGCTATAACTTTTCGAAAAATATATGTATCAGCACAAATTTCTTTATTCTAAATATATTATAAGAACATCTTTCATTTGACATACTTTTTTTTAAAATTAGACAATTTCCCCTTATATAGGGGGGTTCAAACTTTGAAACATTGTATAAAAAATAGAACTTTTTCAACTGAACTTTTTAAAATGTTCCGGAAATACTGTGTCCTTTAAATATATATTAAATTAAAGCCTATTTTATGTACTATAAAATGAAAAAAAAAAATTTGTCTTGACACCTTATCTTCTATGTGCAAATGGCTGTCCAAAATTAAAAAAAAAATTTAATGTTTGCGATAAAAATCACCTTCTATCGGAATGTTTTTTGTACTTAAAACTCCCATAACTTTTTCAAATATTAAAAAATCAAAATAATATTTTGTTATATTAAAACCTTAGATATTTCCCTTTGATTTGATATCATTTTTTTTTTTTAAATCTAACACTTATTCTGCTCACAAGGGGGATTTAAAATAGCGACGACTTATCATCTGTGCGCAAATGGCTACCGTATTCAAAAATATGCTATTTTTGTGTTAAAATCCTGGGTTTTGTATTTTATTTTATTTTAAAATATCTTATAAGGGCAATACACTGACTTTCATGAATATTTTATAATTTAATTGACAAAGAATAAAGTTTATAAGACATAAAAAATTAAGTTTTTTTTATTTTTTTAAAGTCGAAAAAGTAATTTTTAAATTAAAGTTAGCTTAAATAGCCAATTTTATTTTGCGACGAAATCAACGAACAGTTGCCGAGTNGTCTTTAAAAGTAGTAAAACCAGCTTTTTTTCTTTTAACAAGAGTTGTCACTTTTTGAGGACTGATAGCAAAAATGTCAAGAAAAGTTTTTTTGCATACCCTTTTGAGGTCTCCATGTCCATTGGGCACTGTAAAACTGATAGTTGATTGCCTTCTACTTTCTACCGGATCATCATAATTTCCAAGTCGACGTCTTTGGATGGGTAGGATTTGCATAAGTCCCATTAAGTAGCTTCCTTGTTCGTTGATTCCCAAATTGTAGAAGTTCTCGAAGAGCTTTTTTTTAATGTGCAATACATCATTGCAACCAAACTTACACTTGCAAATAACCTGTAATATAAGAAGAGTTCAATATTATTATTAAAACTATCGGTAGGTATTTGTATAGTATTTTATTTACATTGTCTTAATGAAATACTTAACGATAAAAGAAGTAAAATTACTTACTTCGTTTGTAGGTGCTTTTTTTCCTGATATTTTTGTTTTTCTCTTAACGGTTTCGTATTCTTTTCCACTTAATCTTTTTTCACTTTCTATTTTCCTTTTACGTTTATTCTTTAAATTTTCATATGGTTTAAAAGCAGATTCATCCATGATCGCAAAATAAAATCACAAAATACAGAGCAAAATAAGAATGATAGTTATTTGTACACAACAAAATATCGACTGATATAGAAACTGCAAACCATGATGATGTAATGTTGACTGTTATCGACATTGTGCGTAAACAATAATAACAACGACAAAAATAAAAATAGCATGAATGGACTTAGATCAATTAGAGCGAATGACAAGCGTGGACATACAGACAGCTCCATCTATAATTGCTTTTACCAACAATTTATTGATAGTTTGGAGATAGATCTCTTTACACAGTATTGGGATGGGCACATAGATCATTTTGGTGTAGAAAAAAGTATTTTTCAATTTTTGGCACTTAGATCACTTTGCCTCACCACGCCTCATTTAAAAGTCGCAATTATAGCAGAATCATAATTTTTTAATATTTTCATTATAAACAAATACAATTTCTACGTATTCAGTATTATATGAGAAAATGCGATTTTTAACGTTAAATATATCATATTTTCAAGATTAATTATTATTACATGCAGGAGAAAAAAATACAAATTAAAAAATATAATGCGGTAAACCATAAATTAGTATCGTAATCATATATCCTACACTGTTATTTCACACTATTCAAATATCATAATCTACTTATCAATATGATAAGAAAGATAAATAAATAAAATAACATCATCTGTTGTCAAAATTACTTCACTGATATACAACACCATCCTATATTTATAATTTCTCTTATCTGTTATTGATAAGGGAGGTGGTGGAACCTCAATGAGGTACCCTAA